TGAAAGGGGATTTCCAGTAAGACTTGAATACTCTGTCCGTTACATTTTTCAGAAGAATTGAAATGGGATCATCTACAGTTTTCAAAACTCGACCTTTATTTATATATATGGAAACATGAAAAAAAGGTAAGAGTAGATTGATTGTGTGCACTATCACGGAGCATCTCATCAAATCCGACCTTGGCATTCAAAGAGGAAAGGCATTTGGGATAATTCGCCTAATGAGACCCTTCTTCCCTCTTCCCAGAATAAACTCAGTGGCGAATAGACAAATTATAGTGGTCGATGCTGATTATGCCTCAGTTTCTTTTGTAACAAAGTGGCGTCCATTCTCCCGTTACTAGGATGTATGAAAGAAATATCTTAAATTGCTAGGCTAGAGGCTATTGCGATCGAGATATTCTGCCAACTTTTAGCATAAATCCTTATATTAAAGACAGTATCTTTTTATGAGAGCACAATTATTTTACATTGTTTGAGAATAAATTATATGTTTATACAATCTCACGGGGGTCACTAGCGCTACGTTGTAGCAAAGCCTGCCTCGTCTTGGTTTCGCCGATCCCCCTCTTATTTTGTACAGGTGAATTTTTCTGTCCAAGCTGTCGAATCCCCATCAATGGTGGCGTCCTCGGCAAATTGGCTCGGGCCAGTGAATTCATTTCTGTGGCAGACACGTAGTTAGATCCTGTGATCCCAAGACTCCTCACAAGTACTGCTGAGCCCGTCAGTTCTGGCGGTTGCCGGGCTGCAGTAAGGCAGACGACCAGTTGGTCCATGCGCTGGCAGAGTTCGTTGCGCACCATTTGCGTGGCACGGCTGGCATGTGGCGGTTCCAGAAGGTCGAGGCGTGTCAGGCTGTCCCGTGAATCGGTGCTCTTGACTTCGTCTATAAGGCCAGTTTCGTTCGAATTGAAATGGTTTCCATGTATGGTAGTGGGGCCCAAAATGAAGGATTCAACAAGAGGTAGCAGGATCTGATCGGAATAGCGAGCAAGAAGGATGTAATGAGAGACAGATGAAGGCAGATGGATAGGATAGGTAGCCGCAACTTATTTAACCGTTAAGTTCATAAAGTTAATTTGAGTGTATTCGAATTAAGACGACGAACAGCATCAGAGTAGGGTATCACCCTTACAACCACATTCAAGCTAAAAATTCAAGAAAACTCACTGTGTGAAAAAAAAGAGGTGGCTCAAGTAATATTTCGTGTCTTACTTATAATTAAGGTCAGTTTTT